TCTTTATATTGAGATGTAATCCATCTTCAGTCTTCATCAGTAAGTACATCAAGTCATCCTCACTTTCAACAAGCAAAGTTGTATCATCTGCATATCACCGGTTGTTAATGATTCTTCCTCCAACCCTAAAGCCACATTCTATGTCATACAGTCCAGCTTCTCAGATTATTTGCTCAGCATACAAATTGAATAAGTATGGTGAAAGGATACAACCCTGACACACTCCCTTCTTGATTTTAAACCACGTAGTGTTCCCTTCTGTTTGAACGACAGCCTCCTGGTCTATGTACAGGTTCCTCATGAATACAATTAAGTGTTCTGGAATTCCTATTCTTCTCAATGTTATTCACAATTTGTTATGATGCACACAATCAAATGCTTTTGCATAGTCAATAAAACACAAGTAAACATCTTTATGGTATTCTTTGCTTTGAGCCAAGATCCAGCTGACATCAATAATCATATCCTTTGTTCCACATCCTCTTCTAAATCCAGCTTGCATTTCTGGAATTTCTCTGTCAATATACTGCTGCAACCGCTTGCTCTTGTAGAGCAAGATTGCCCTACAGAGTGGCAGGGTATCCAGGTAAAAAGGGGCAGGAGGCAAGGCTAGGCCAAAAGCCCCCTAGAGCCAGGAAAAGGAGGGAGCAGGAGAGGCCTGGGACCTGTGGAGCAGTAGGATATCCAGGTAAAAAGGGGCAGGAGGCAAGGCTAGGGCCCAAGCCCCCTAGAGCCAGGAAAGGGAGGGAGCAGGAGAGGCTGGGGACCTCTGGAGTGGCAGGATAGCCAGGTAAAAGGAAGGGAGGCAAAGCTAGGCCCCAAGCCCCCTAGAACCAGTAAAGGGTGGGAGTGGCCAGGGACCACAAAATGGTAGGTTCCAGGTAGGAATTAGGTAAGGGGAGGGTACAGAGGTTTACAACAGCTAAGGGAGACAAACTTGTCTGTCAGTTTGTCATCCTTCGGGGCTTATACGTTGCTGTGAGGCTTGAGGCTGTGCCACTAGTGTTTAAGACGCCAGCAGAGTTGCACGTAGTGCATAGATTTCAATGCAGGTTACAGACTATGACAGACTAGGAAGAAGAAGGGGGCCATTACTTCTCAAAAATTGGCCAGGGAAAACTTTATGAATAGCAGAGAAATGCTGTCTGATACATTTTACTGGGCAACTTTATGAATAGCTCGGAAACATTGTCTGACACAGTGCAGGAAGATGAGCCCCTTGGGTTGGAAGGCACTCAAAATAGGACTGAGAAAGAGCTGCCTCATCAGTGTAGAACTGATCTTAATGATATGGATAAAGTTAGTTTTTCAGGACCCCATGTGCTGACATGACATGACCCAAATTGAGGAGAAACAGCTGCAAACATCCATTAATAATAGGAACATGGAATGAAAGTATGAATCTAAGAAAATTGGAAGTTGTAAAAATGAAATGGAATGCAAAGATTGATATCCCAGGCATTAGTGAGCTGAAATGGATGGTTTTTGGGCATTTTGAATAAGATAACCATATCATCTACTGTGCCTGGAATGACAAATTGAAGACGAATGTCATGGCATTCATCATCACAAAGGATGGTTCAAGATCAGTCCTGAAGTACAATGCTGTTAGTGATAGGATAATATCCTATGCCTACAAGGCAGATCCATTAATACTACTATTATTCAATTTATGCATCAACCAACAAAGCCAAAGATGAAGAAACTAAAGATTTTTATCAACTTCTGCAGTCCGAAATTGACCAAACATGCAATCAAGATGTGTTGCTTATCACTGGTGATTAGAATGCAAAAGTTGGAAACAAAGAAGAGTCACCAGTAGTTGGAAAATTTGGCCTTGATGACAGAAATAATGCTAGAGATCACATGATAGAATTTTGTAAGACTAATGACTTGTTCATTAAAAATACCTTTTTTCAACAACACAAATGGTGGCTATACATGTGGACTTTGCCAGATGGAGTACACAGGAATCAGATTGACTACATCTGAGGCAAGAGGGGATTGCAAAGTTCAATATCTTCAGCCTAAACAAGGCCAGGAACTGACTGTGGAACAGACCATCAACTGCTCATAAACAAGTTCAACTTGAAGACAATTAAGGCAAGTCCACAAGAGCCAAAATATGACCTTGCTTATATCACACATGAATTTAGAGACCATCTAAAGAATAGATTTGATGCATTGAACACCAATGACCGAAAACCAGAAGAATTGTGGGATGACATCAAGATCATCATCCATGAAGAAAGCAAGAGGTAATTAAAAATACAGGAAAGAAAAAAAAGACCAAAATGGATGTCAGAAGAGACTCTGAAACTTGCCCTTAAGCAAAGAGTAGCTAAAGCAAATGGAAGAAATGACAAAATAAAAGAGCTGAACAGAAGATTTCAAAAAGCAGCTCAAGTAGACAAAGCCAATAACTATAATGAAATGTGCAAAGACCTGGAGTTAGAAAACCAAAAGGGAAGGACACGCCTGGCATTTCTCAAGCTGAAAGAACTGAGGCAAAAATTTAAGCTTCCAGTTGCAATATTAAAAGACACTATGGAAGGAAGGTTGGGTAATCCTACTTCTGTAGTGATACTGCCTTGGAAAACCAAGGAGGGGTCGCTATGAGTCGGGGCTGACTCGATGACACATAACAACAACAACAACATGGGCAAAATATTGAATGATGCAGGAAGCATCAAAAGAAGATGGAAGGAATACACAGAGTCATTGTACCAAAAAGAATTGGTCAATCTTCATCCATTTCAGGAGGTGGTATATGTTCAAGAACCAATGGTACTGAAGGAAGAAGGACCTCTTTCATGTGCTAAGGAGCAAAGGTGTCTCCTTGAGGACTAAGGTGCACCTGACACAAGACATGGTATTTTCATTCGCCTCATATGCATGTGAGAGCTGGACAATGAAAAAGGAAGACTGAAGAAGAATTGATGCTTTTGAGCTGTGGTGTTGGCGAAGAATACTGAAAGTACCCTACCGTGGACTGCAAAGAGAACTAACAGGTCTGTTCTGGAGGAAGTGCAGGCAGAATGGTCCTTGGAGGCGAGAATGGCCAGACTTCTTCTCACATACTTTGGTCATGTTGTCAGAAGGGGCCATTCCCTGGAGAAGGATGGCACACTTGGTAACGTGGAAGGTCGACAAAAGAGGGGAAGGTCGACAAAAGAGGGGAAGGCCCTCAAGAGATGGACTGACAAAGTGGCAGTGGAGATGGCCTCAAATACAGCAAGAATCATGGAGGTGGCTCAGGACCGGGTGGTGTTTCGTTCTGCTGTGCATAGGGTCGCTATGAGTCGGAGACCACTCAATCGCACCTAACAACAACAGGGGGCTTGGGGCCTAGCCTTGCCTCCAGCCCCTTTTTACTTGGATATCCTGCTGCTCTGGAGGTCCTTGACTTCTCCTGCTCCCTCTGTTTCCTGGCTGTAGGGGGCTTGTTGTTGTTGTTGTTTGCCGTGGAGTCGGCCCCGACCATAGCGACCCCTCCTTGGGTTTTCGAGGCAGTATCACTACGGAAGTAGGATTGCCCAACCTTCCTTCCGAGGAGTGGTTGGTGGGTTTGAACCTCCAGCCTTCTGGTTAGCAGTCAAGTGCCTTAGGCACTATGCTACCAGAGCTCCTCTAGGGGGCTTAGGTGTTCACAATGTAGTGGGGAGAAAATTGAGGGTAAGGTCTGGAGAGAAAAATATGTCAAGCTTTTATTGTCTGAAAGATCACGTGTTATTATTTAAAGTAAAATTTTAAAGGGGAAAAATAAAATCAATGAACCCTTCAGTTCAACAAACCATAAATAAATAAGCTCCCTGCCATGGAGTTGATTCTGACTCAAAGCCACCGCCATTCGGTTTCCAAGGCTGTAAATCTTGAGCAAGCAGACTGCTTCATCTTTCTTCCATGGAGCAGCTGGTGGATTTGAATCACGGACCTGTATGGTTAACAGACTAATCCCCTAATTGCTACATCACCAGAGCTCTTTTTATTTCAGTAAGAACTTATTTATTGCATGCCTTTTTGCCCCTAGCGGGTGCAGAAAACGAAGCATTGTAAACATACTTGGTCGGTTTAACTGTAAACAAGTTCAATTATCATTTGATGGGAAGAAAGCAAGAGCAGAAAGACTTGCAAGAAGAAAAACAATCATGACCCCGCCTTACTTGAGCTCCAGTCCCTTCTTCCCCGCCCCCCTCCTCCCCTTAGAAAACCAACAGAAATCTGACCCGAGGAGGCCAAGACCGGCATAAAGGAAGTGGCCCCCGGAGCCGCGCCAACTCCACCCCGGAGGTGGCCTCATCTCAGTTAACGACTTTACCCAGTCCAGGTGCTGCGGCCTTCCCTGTTCAATTGGCTTCAGAGTTAACCACTGAGTTCATGTTTTAGAAGCGCCTGCAATCCATCAGGAAGGGGGAGTGCGGTCTCCAGAAGCCTTGAAACCTAGGCGCCAGCGCTGGGACCAGGTGAGGGTCGTTTTGGATATATCTGGGCTCCCGGAAACCACATTTGGAACCGCGAGTATCGGCGCCGAGGTCACTGCGCTATCCCTGTTTACGGAGATAACAGGGGAAATTGTGTAACGAGGCGCTCCTGACCGCCCAGAGCCCAGAGGAGGAGATCCTCCGCCAGAACAGCCTTGCTGGTCCTTGGTGGCCCGGAGCTACTCTTGCTCTCCCGCTGCGCAGCGCCGGCGGGGGCAGCCACAGGTGGGAGGTTTCTGTGTTACTTGCCTGGGGCGTGGGGCGTGGGGCGCGGAGCTCGAGCCCCGCGGTGGGGCGCAGGGCTGAGGGCTGCGGGCGGCCTGGGCAGGAGCGCTAGCGCCCGGGGTTCTGTGTGCGCTTTGGCTGGAGGGCCTGGGGCAGCCTCAGGAAGTGGAGTGAGGTCTCAATAAAGGGCCCCATTGGTGCCCTTTCCACTGATAACGTTTACCCTGACCGAAACTGCCTTTTCTGGGATGTGCTTCCGCTTAGTTTCGCTGCTTTACACCGCAGACAGCAGTAATGAATCATGCTAATAAACTGGACTCGGGCATCTGCCAGCATATTGCAGGTATTAGAAGGGACTATTATTAGTTGTTATTTAGCAGTAAGAATTAATTGGAAGCCACCATTCATCTGTCACTTTGTCCTACCTGTGATAAGCAGATGACACAACCTTGCTTGCTGAAAAGAAGACTTGAAGCCCTTACTGAAGATCAAAAACTATAGACTTCAGTGTGGATTACACTTCAACATAAAGAAAGGAAAAATCCTCACAACTGGACCAATAAGCAACATCAGGATAAATGGAAAAAAGATTGAGGTGAAGGATTTCATTTTACTTGGATCAACAATCACTGCCCATGGAAGCAGTAGTCAAGAAAACAAATGCAGCGTTCAGGAACTCAAATAATTTGTTTCATTGGACAAATCTGCTGCAAAAAGACCTCTTTAAAGTGTTGAAGAGCAAAGATGTCACTTTGAAGACTAAGGTGTGCCTGACCCAAGCCATGGTATTTTCAGTCACCTTACATGCTTATGAATGCTGGACAATGAATCAGAAAGAGCAAAGAAGAACTGATGCATTTTAATTATGGTGTTAGTGAAGAATATGGAATATATCATTGACTCCAGAAAAATGAACAAATCTGGTTTAGAAGACGTACAGCCAGAATGCTCCTTAGAAGGGAGGATGAAGAGACTTGTCTCATGTACTTTGGACATGTTATCAGGAGGGACCAGTTCCTGGAGAGAGACATCAAACTTGGTAAAGTAGAGGGTCAGTGAAAAAGAGGCAGACCTTCAATGAGATGGATTGACACAGTGGCTGCAACAGTGGGCTCACGCATAGTAATGATTATGAGGATGGCACAGAACCAGGCAGTATTTCATTCTGTTGTACATGCAGTTGCTGACACAACGACACCAAACAACAACAAAATTCATTGAAAGTATGTCTGGAGCCCCAAATGATGCTATGAATTATAGGATGTGAAAAGAAAATGAGAGGTGGTGTAGTGGTTAAGACCATTAGCTCTACCGTTAAGCTGCCTGAGTTTTAATTCTGCCTCTCTCTTAGTATTTGTGAACTTTAAGCCAATCACTTTATATATGTGACTTCATTGCCTCATCTCTGAAATTAGGACTAAACAGGTGGTATGTATAACATAGTTAAAGCAGTACCTACCACTGATTAAAATATTCAATAAGTTAGCTTTTATTTAACATTTAACAAGGTCCTTGCTTCCACAGTCTCACTGTCTGGTTTCTTATGTGTTTCATTTATATGCAGTTATTCCTAGAATAACTTGGCATGGTAACTTTCCAGTTCCAGGAACAGGAAGTCATGCCTCCCCGTAGTAGTTCAGCAATTTGAAATACATGCTTAGTACAAGTGATGTAATTTAGCAGGAAATGTCACATAGTTTTAGCCTTCAATTTCTTCCCTAAACTTTCCAAAAAGCAGAACTTTCTTTTAATGCTACAATGAGATTTACCATGTTTGTGGGTTTTGAACAAGAGCAAACACCTTGACAAACAAAAGAAAATGAAAACCAAAATAAGTGAATTTCTGCACTGGAATGTGAAATAGCTGGATTTTAGTATAAGTAGCCTTCAGATCTGTACTGAGTGGAAGGAATTAAATAATACCACACCACAAGCAGGTTAATTCCACAAGCATCAAACACCTTGTCCTGGACAAGACTGACCATACTCTGGCCTTGAGAGCTTAGTGTTGAAGTGGAGAGATACTAGATATATGTGAAATGGCCCCTGTAAACCACTCCATCTTCATCAGGGATTCTCTCTCTTTTCTACTCTGTAACCCCACTAATTTTTCAGTTCATTAAATGATCCAGGCAAACTCCCTCAAACCTCCTGACTTAGACTGTGTGGTTCCTTCTGTCCATAATGGCCCCCATCCCCTTCCCACATACACCTAGGAGCACCTGGTTTTTGCTACTAGATTTTCTTCGGCAATCAGAGCTGACTTTCCTGACAGTGTTCCACCACCTAAATTAGTTAGTGCCCCATAATCTTGTGAATAAGGAACTCTGGTGTTATAGTGGGTAAGACATTTAACTGCTGACCAGAAAAGGTCAGTGGTTCAAACCCACCAGCTGCTCCATGGGAGGAAGAGGAGACAATCTACCTCCATAAAGATTTACAGCCTTGGAAACTGAGTCGGAGGGTTTGTTTTTGTTTGAGTCCTTTCTACAGCATTATTTACTTTTATTCATAGTGCTTAGAGTATTTGTAGTTACATATTGTGTTGGTTCTCAATCTCCTGTGTTTCGTCATTTTTATAGGTCTGGTATCGTGCCCTGTGTGCTGTACCTCTTCAATCAATATTCCTTGGAAATAAGCGCAAGTTGTATAGTAAGTGGATGTTTATATGTACTCTACCTTGAATGGTACTAATTCTTAAAGCCAAAGTACTTTAATAATATGAATACTAAAAATTGTACTTTTCATTTTCCAAATTTTGTTTTAATTAATGCCTTGTTCTTACTAGGTCAGGCAAGAGTTTTTGCTAAGTGGTCAAAAGGGTAAATTAAATTTCAAGCCATTTCTGCCTCACATAAGATAGATAAAAATCTTCCCTTTAACAAATTTCACTTAAAGTTGGCAGTTTAAAATAATGTCTTTTCATGAGAGCAAAAGACAGACTCTGATGAGCCAGCTTAGTTTAACTAGTGAGCTAGCTATATGGTGTTAAGATTTTACCTCTTGGGCTTCGTTTCCTTGTTTATAAGGAAGAAAGGAAACAATTCAGATTTCAGCGAGAACTCAGGGTTGTCATGGAAAGCTTTTCAGGAATAATAAAGAAAATGAATCAAAGGAGAATAACTGACTTAAAGACTGTTTCTTTTATCTCTCTTTTTAGTTGAAAATTGTGTAGAATACTTGACCATCACCATCCCACTTGGTCCCAGTTGATGTATTATTACAGATTTATTCAAGGTTTACTATAAAATGTTCTTCCAAATTGGCTCTGAGCATATTTGGTTTTGGTTTTGGTTTTTGCTTTGAACCTAAAACACAACAGCAGATATTTAGAGAAACCCATCCTGTTACAATGTATTTGCGTTTAGGTTCAGCCTCAGTCCCAGCCCTTTTCCTTCCCATTTCTCATACAGGAGTCGGGCTGGTGACCTGGAATGCTTCTGATTCCTGCTTGACTTCTGCCAAAACTGCCAAAACTACAATTTCAGCAGATGACATATTTTTCTCCTTAAATGTTAACCCTATCTTTTTAAATATACTTACAAACAGCCTAAACAACATGGAGATAATTTGAATTGTGAATTACCTCAGCAAGTATTTAGGTTTCCACCATCCCCTCACTCCTGGTCTATAAACCTTAATTATTGTACATGATGCCCCTGAATTTTTCTAAACCTTCATTTAACAGACAATTAAGAAAAAGTATGTAGTAAAGAGATTATATTTTGAAGTTCTATTTTTTTCCTGAAGTACTTAAGGTTTAAATGGTACAGGAGATAATGACCTTCACACTTTTTTTTTTCCCCCTTTGGTACAACATGAATACGTTTTTTCTCTTCCCTGGAAGTCTTTCTTGAATTGTTTTTCAATAAGAGTAGTGGAAGCCATTATTTAAAAATAATTCTGTTGAACTGACTAATTCAGTTAGGACACAGCTTGGTCATTTCCAAAACTGAATGTCAGTGTCTTGCAATACGTAGGTTCAATAAAACCAAAGGATCCATATCATAGCAAACAAAAGGGTGGCCAGGGAAGAACCTGATAGCACACTGTAGTCTACCTATTCTTCATACAGGTACAAAGGTCACTTAATATTTTGCTCTAGATCCTACGATACCTTGTTTTTCATGCTTAAGATATTGTGTTGTTGCCAAAATTCTAAAAACTTCAAGAAAACAAAGCCTCAGATTTCATTCTGCACTAGTTTGGCCAATCGGTACTCATCTCCATTAACCCATAGCTTAAGACTTAATGTAACAAAATGAGAAGAAAAGAAGCAAATATAAATGGATGAGCTCAATTTTATAATCTGTATGGTTTCCTTTTCTTGGATTTCTGTGCAAGGAGGGAATGATCTCTGAGCCCATGAAAGTAGAACACCACATATTCTGAGCTGGTACTCATTTGGCAAGGGCTGGGAAATCTATGAAACTACATTCTTTAAAAACCTCTACTTGTTTATAATGCAGTGTGTACAATTAGCAGGGCTTTGAACCAGTTCAAACCAGTTCAGTCATGATATTTCATGAGAAAGACCCAAATTTGTAAAATGTGGGTGACCTGGAATGGGAAAACTTGTGGGTCAAAACCTTGGAATGGGAGTTGGAAGAGGCACAGAGAGCCCTTTCAGGAACCTAATGCAGGAGATTGGATTATTGCCAGTACTGTGGAGAGTGACAAACATTCAAAGTGTCTAGGTCAGCCACCATTTTTGAACTGTTGTCGTTGTTATGTGCCATCGAGTCAGACCCGACTCATAGCGACCCCTTCTTGGGTTTCCGAGGCAGTATCACTACGGAAGTAGATTGCCCCATTTTCCTTCCAAGGAGTGATTGGTGGATTTGAACCGCCAGCCTTCTGGTAACAGTCAAATGCCTTAGGCACTATGCTACCAGAGCTTCTCCAGAGCTGCTGGTAAAACCCAAGAATGTGGCTCCTAGTTACCTTACAGACCTTCAGTTGTCCTCACTTCCATGGCTAACTTTCAGCCAAACAATAGTCAGGCCTACCAGTTGAATAACTACACCAGGGAGATATACTCTTAGAACCATCAACCATGGGAGCAGCATTTGCATAGGGAGAAAGCTAGGGAGGCAGGAATATATAGGCAAGAAGGATACAGGGAAGAATTAAGCACAGGGTGGAAAAGAAAAAAAAAAGAGAGATAGTCAGTTCTGAAATAGAGAGGAGGGAAGTGGTTTCTTCATAAGAACACCAGATATTAGTTAAGGATACAGAGAAATCACTTGACTTTTATTTACCATTTAAGATGGCACAATCAGAGGAGTTAATTGAGTGGCAGCCAGGACTACAGTGGGCCTCAGAAGGGGCAAGAGTAGTTCA